CAATTCTCCTGCCTCAGCCTCCCGAACAGCTGGGACTATAGGCATGTGCCACCATGCCTGGATAGTTACTTGTATTTTTAGTAGAGATGGGGTTTACCATATTGGCCAGGATGGTCTCAAACTCCTGACCTCAAGTTATCCACCTGCCTCAGCCTCCCAAAGTGCTGGGATTACAGGCATGATCCACTATGCTAGAGTGCCCAGCCTACTCTAGCATCTTTTGTTGAAAAACCTACCCTTCCTGCACTGAATTGCTTTTGTATCTTTATCAAAATTATCAGTTGAGCATATATATGTGGGTCTACTTCTGGGTTCTATATTTTGTCCCATTGATCTATGTGTTTGTCTTTCTGCCAATTCCACACAGTCTTGACGACTATAGCCAAGTCCTGGGATCTAGTACACTAATTCTTCCCACTTTATTCTTTTTTCAAAATTGATTTAGTTATTTTAAGTTCTTTGCCTTTCCGTATAAGTTTTGGAATAAGTTTGTCTACGCCTACAAATATTCTTGCTGAGACTTTGATTGGAATTGCATTAAACTGATATGCCAGTTTTGGGAGAATTGATACCTTTGCATTGTGGAGTCTTCCAATCCATGAACATGATATGTTTCTCCACTTACTTAGGTCTTCTTTTATTTCTGTCATCAACATTGCAAATGGCATTGTGTTTTCATTTGGTTGACACATGTTCATTGTTAGCATATAGAAATGCTATTGATTTTTTTTTTTTTTGTATGTTGGTCTGGAATCCTGCAACCTTGCTGAACTCACTTATTAGTTCTAAGATTGTTTTTAAATTTCTTAGTATTTTCTCTGTAGATATCATGTCATCTCAAAATAGGGACAATTTTATTTATTCCTTTTCAGTCTATATGCTTTTCATTTATTTTTCTTGCCTTATTGCACTGGCTAGAACTTCCAATACTATGTCAAATAAGAGTAGTGAAAGAGGACATTCTTGCCTTGTTCCTCATCTTAAGGAAAAGCATTCAGTCTTTCACATGAAGTATGATGTTAGCTGTAAGGTTTTTGTAGTTGCCCTTTATCAAGTTGAGGAACTCCTCTCTATTCCTGAGAGTTTTTATCATGAACAAGTGCTGGATTTTGTCAAATGCTTTCTCATGTCAACTGATATAATCACATAATTTTTTTATTTTTCAGGCAATTAATATGGTGAATTACATTGATTGACTTGAAAATACTGAATCAGCCTTGGACACCTAGAATAAATACCACTTGGTTTTGGTATATAAGTCTTTTTATATAGTGCTAGATTTGATTTGTTGAAGATTTTTATGTTTAAGCTCATGAAGGATACTGGTCTATAGTTTTCTTGTACTATCTTTGGCTGGTTCTGGTATCAGAGTAAACCTGTCCTCATAAATTGAGTTGTGAAGTGTTCCCTCCTCTTTTATCTTCTGGAAGATATTGTAAAATTAGTGTTAATTCTTCTTGTAATATTTGGTAGAATTCTCCATTGAAACCATCCTGGCCTGGAGATGTGTTTTTCAGGAAATTTTAAATTATGAATTCAAATAAAAAATATGAATAATTAAATTCTGAAATTTAATTAAAATTATTAACTGTTTGTGGTTGTATTTATTCAGATTGCCCACTTCATCTTGGTTGAGCTTTAGTAGTTTATGATTTTCATAGAATTGGTCAATTTCTTTCTAGTTTTTAAATATATTAGTCTAAAGTTGTTTGTAGTAGTCCCTTATCCTTTTAATAGCTGCAGTATTTGTAGTGATATCCCATTTCATTCCTGTTGTTGGTGTTTTGTGTCTTCTCTCTTTTATCTTTGTTAGTCTTGCTCAAGGTTTATCTATTTTATCGATATTTTTCAAAGAACCAGTTTTTTGTTCATTAATTTTTCTATGGTTTTTGTTTTCAGGTTCATAGAGTTCTGCACTTGTTTTTTAATTATTTCCTTCCCTGTGCTTGATAAGGTTCTTTGTTCTTCTTTTTCTTGTTTCTTGAGATAGGAACATAGATTATTCATTTAAGATCTTTCCTCTTTTCTAAAGTAGCATTTAGTGCTATCAGTTTCTCTCTCCACATTGCTTTAGCTGCAGCCACACATTTTGATATATTGTTATCTAGTTATTACATTATATTCACTATTATAGTAGTGTATTTGTTCTCTTTTATTCCTTCTGCTCCTTGTTTCATTTTTCTTACCTTTTTGTGGATAACTTTAACATTTTTCAAAATTCCATTTTAGCTTATTATAATTTTAAAATAGTTTTTCTTAGTTCTTGTGTAAATACACATATATAATTTATCACAATCTATGAGTATGAATGCCTTACCATTTTGAGTGATATGTAGAAATCTTACTTCCATTTTGGTCCCTTTAGCCTCCTTACTTTTTAAATATCATTGTCTTAAGTATATCCCCTAAGTACATTGAGTACCACATCATATGGTAGTGTAATTTTTGCTTCAACCATCAAGTATGACTTAAGAGACTCCTGAGAAGGATAGTCCATTATTTTCATCCATTTCATTGTCCTTCTTTCCTTTCTGAAATTCCAGACTTTCTTCTGTTATCATCTCCCTTTCCCTTCTGTTTGGAGAACATCCTTCAGCCATTCTATAAGGGTAAATATGTGAGTGACAAACTCTCTTAGTTTTCCTTCATCAGAGAATGCCATTATTTCCACTTTTCTCCTGAAGGATACTTTCACCAAATAGATGACTTGTGATTGATAGTTATTTCCTTTCAGTACTTGAAAAATGTACCACTTCCTTCTGGCTTCCATGGTTCCTGATTTAAAAAAAAAAACAAAAAACCTGCTGTCCTTTGAACTGGTGTTCCCTACAGATAATACATTATTTCTCTCTAGTTGCTTTCAAGATGTTTTTCTTTCTTTTTTAGTTTTCAGAAGTTTAACTATGGTGTATCTTGGCATGGATTTCCTTGGGTTCATCTCAGTTGAGATGCACTCAGCTTCTTGAATATGTAGGTTTATGTCTTTTGCAAAATTCAGACATTTTCAGTTGTTATTTCTTCAAGCCAAGGTGACTTTTAAGCACATTGTATATTTGAGAAACATTGCCCTGGAGTGGGGTTGAGAGATCCAAGGACTTCTTAAATTGTATACAGAATGCTGTAAGTGTCCACGGCTTTCATTAGATTCTCAAAAGACTCCATGACCCTCACCATAAATTTTATAAAACCATTGGTTTATGGCCTTATTGTGTTGTTTTTGGTTTTCTTGGTTAAAATCAGTAAAAACAAACAAACAAACGAACACAAAAGCTAAGTAGTATTCTTTTTTTTCTTTGTACCACATCTGTTGAATTCCTGTTTCCCAGAGATTTTCCTGACAATTTTGGAAAATACGATGACTCAGGTAAATATTTTCCAAGTGCCTAATATGTGCCAGACAAATATTTTTATTGTTTTCCATAGTCAATGAGAAGGAGAAGAGTTTAAAACAATTAATGTAATTTGGGTTTATGAAAAGTTCTTGGTAAATAAGTGCCAGAGGAAAATTGGCTGCTTTTCAGTGTGACCTTTCCCTTTAAAATCTGTTCCTTACTGCTCTGAGCTGGATACACCAGTGATCAAATTACATCCCTGAAAGTATAATTTCATACACTGAAAACATGTCATTACACAGTGGGCCGCTTGTCATCACTCTGGCTTGCTTTGCACAGTTGGTAGTCGGGCACTCATGGTTCCCCCAAGCAGGCTTGTCCCTGGCTCAACTGCTCGAGCCGATTCCTCCAGCCAGCACACCCTCACCTCCTTTGTCACCCCTTCTTCCTGGACTAATTCTTGCTCATCTTCCAGAACTCAGCTTGGGAAGCACCAACTCTGGGAAGCCTTCACTCTCTCTTCTCCAAACATTAAGTTGGGTGTGCCTCCGGGGTCACTCATGCCTGCCAGAACATCACGCTTTATGTTAATTGCCTAATTATCTCTCCTGTCAGATGGTCAGACCCTTGGAAACTGTGACTGAGTTTTGATTTGGTTTTGTGCCCCTGGTACTTTCTTAAGTATAATATGACGTGTATTTACGCACTATCTCCAGTTAGAGTTCATGCCACCAGTTGACTGGCTGAGCCTTTCGTCCATATTTTCGTTAATGTCATTAAGCATCTGTTGAGGGTTGGGCACAGAGATTCATGCCTGTAATCCCAGCACTTTGGGAGGCCGAGGTGGGTGGATGACTTGAGGTCAGGAGTTCAAGACCAGCTCAGCCAACAAGGTGAAACCCTGTCTCTACTAAAAATACAAAACTTAGCTGGGCATGGTGATGGGCACCTGTAATCCCAGCTACTCAGGAGGCTGAGGCTGGAGAATCGCTTGAACCTGGGAGGTAGAGGTTGCGGTGAGCTGAGATAGCACTACTGCAGTACAACCTGGACAAAAGAGCAAGACTCCATCACAAAAATAAAAATAAAATATTTAAAAAGTACCTGTTGAGCTCCTTTATATGTAAGTGTGGTGACCAGATATTCAGTTCTTCCCAAACAGGTTTAATCTTTCCTCACAAGCATCTGTTTATTAGTTTACTTTAGACTTTTTCTGAGAATCAGTATAAAGGTTATTGGTCTTCTCTTGCTAGAATACCTGTCTTTCCATTTTGGGGAAATATGGATAACAACGACCTCTTCCATGTTCCTTCTTTGTCTTACTAGTGGATCTTATGAACCCCTTATTATTGCATTTACATGTATAGCTCTGTCTTTCCTATTAGGCTGTAATAAGCTCCTTGGGGCAGGGAGTGTATCTTATTCAACCCAGAGTCTCCAGGGACCAGTGGAAGGTGGCATTCCATGAGTGCTGATGGAAAGAAATTTGATGTTAGATCATCACAGCTGCATGGTTGCTTATGATCGGAACATACTTTACTTCCTGACCTCCATACCTTTACTTCCTGGTTATCTTTTATCCCTCATTCTAAGCCACTGTGAATTCTTTTTTGGAAAGGAGAAATGGGTAAATGCAACACATTTTAATGCATTTTTTATTCCTCCCAGGTACTATCTTGGTCGTCGGATGTTTATTGTTATTTCTGAGCCAGACATGATCAAGCAGGTGTTGGTTGAGAACTTCAGTAACTTTACCAACAGAATGGTACGTAGTTTTCTTTCTGCATATAGATGGATGGGGAATCGTTCTCAGATGGAGGCATTGCATGTCAGATCCAATGGGGATGCAATCAGGCCTCTGATCAGGTTTATGTCAGTTCCACTCAAAACTAAGCTCCTCAGTGAACTCGGTTTTTCAAAAGAGATCTATGGGACTGGTACAAAAGAGTAGCATTTACATTTAAGAAATGCTTCAAGAAAGCTAAAGCTCAAGGGAAGCTGAGGCTATTAAAAATGCTAAAACCAAGAGGGTTTTCTAAAGCTGGGTTCAAAGCTGGGGGAATCCAGAGGGCACAGGCCAAGTGACTGACGGAGAATGAGCTAGGCTAATAAATATCAGTTGGAAAGTAAAATGTTGAGGTTCTTGCACTTACATCTTTCCCAGAAAGAATAAGAGTACTAAGGCTGGAAAGGGAAGACAAGCAAATTAGGAAAGAAATTTGTCCCCAAGTAAGAGAAGGAAGCTTTAAGAGGGCTCCTTTATATTAGTTCAAGTTTCCAGCCTACATGCATGTACATATCCCTTTGTTTTTGGAAAGTAAATGTCCTACTATTTATCTTTGATGAGAAATCCCAAAGGATGGAAGAAGTGACAGAAAATGGCAGAGATCAGGCAGGTGGCTCATACCTGTAGTCCCCACACTTTGGGAAGCCAAGATGAGTGGATTGCTTGGATTCAAGAGTTTGAGACAAGCCTGGCCCACTTGGTGAAACCCTGTCTCTAGAAAATTACAAAAATTAGCCAGGTGTGGTGGCACACATCTGTAGTCCCAGCTACTTGGGAGGCTGAGACATGAGAACTGCTTGAATGCTTGAATCTGAGAGACTGGGAGTGGGAGGTTCCGGTGAGCTGAGATCGCGCCACTGCACTCCAGCCTGGGCGACAGAGACCCTGTCTCAAAAAAAATTAAATAAATAAATAAATAAATAAATAAATGAAATAAAGAATGAAAAAATGACGGGTATCAGTGCTATCCATTTTCCAAAAATAGGGAGATAGGCATTCTAGCAGAAAAGACCAGTAAACTTTATGTTGATTCTTGGAAAAAGTCTAAAGTGAATTAATAAACATGTTTGTGAGAATTCAGAGAATCACCATGCCAGCCATTTTTGGGGGTCCCATTAGACCTCACTTTTCATTTTTTTAGGGAAGTAGGTAATGTATTCATTCTTTTGTTGATTATTTGGTAAACTTTTGCATACCTGCCATATGCCAGGCACTGTGTAGGTGCTGACTGTAAAGAGACAGTGTCCCTCGAGGAACTCTCGCTTTAGTGAGGGAGGCAGACAAGGAAGGAGACCAGCACAATGCAGTGTGGTGAGTGCTCCTGAGGTGGGGAGCCCAGGCCACCAGGATGCGGACAGAGGAAAGCTTATTGGGTGGGAGGCGTTTGGGGCTGAGTCTTAAAGAAATGAGAGAGAGTCCCCTTTCCTGTGTTCCGAACTAGGTGAGCCATCCAGAGTGTGTCCTTGTCATCACAAGAACTTATGAGATGGGTACAGTTATAATCTCTATTTTATAGACAAAGAAATTAAGGTTCAGAGAGGCTAAATGATCAACCCTGGTAACATGGCTTACCACGAGGAAGAGCAGGGATTCATGTGCCATCTCTCAACTGAAGTCTAGAGCTCTTTTTACTGCCACAGCTGTCACAGCTGCCTCAGTGACATTTCTGGATGTCAAGGTTGAATGGAGTAATTGGTCACTCACCCAAAATATGCTCATCTTCTTCCAGCCCCAGAGCATCATGCCCAACTCCAGACATCATGTGACCTCTAGAGGGATGTGGCCTGGAGGGGGGCGGCTGGCCTGCTACCTCCATCCCTTCAGGATGGCCGAAAGAATTGCAGAAGTTTAACTGCTTCTCTGCTGCCTCTAGATTCTCTTTCCCAAACACTGCGTTGCTATCTCCTTGCTCAAAGTCCCCTGAAAGCCGTCTGTCAAGAAACCGATTCTGATGATTCAATGCAGCTGTAGCTGTAGCTTGTTGCTCCATCAGCCTCAGCAAGGAGTGCTGAGTAAAGAAGTTGGAGAAGACAGTAAGTCAAAGTGCATGGACCACCAAGCTACATTCTAGCAAGCAGCAAAGGCACTCACAGAAGCCTGCCATAGCGCTTGAGACTGTCTGAGCCCCTAAGCCATGAGGTGGCACTTGCCAACTGGTGTCTCCATATTTCCTCCCATGACACCAGGACATGTGGCCCTGAGAGCTGACCTAGAAGAGGTCAATGATTTGGCGTGCTAGGGGCAGACATACTCAATGCACATGTTCAAGCAGGGGGGACCCAATAACATTGACCTCAACTTTGGTCAATTTCTCCTCCAAGCCATTTGTCTGCCGTTCCTAATTTCTTTCACCATCCCCTCACCCACCCCTCCACCCAGACTAGGTCCAGGGCCCCAAACTCCAGAGTATAGTTCCAATTTTCTTCCTCTTCCACTCAGCACAGGATTAAGCCTTCAGGACTAAGTCCAAGTTCCCCAGATAATTAAGGGCCCTTGTGACTTAGATCCATTGTGTGAGGTGTTTGGGGCTAAGTCTTAAAGAAATTAGAGAGAGTCTCCTTCCCTGTGTTCCAAACTAGGTGAGCCATCCAGAGTGTGTCCTTGTCATCACAAGAACTTATGAGATGGATGCAATTATCATCTCTATTTTATAGACAAAGAAACTAAGGTTCAGAGAGGCTAAATGATCAACCCTGGTAACATGGCTTAACACTGTCTCTCACTGCTCCCCAGTACAAATCGTCACTCCAGCCTCTCCCTGCTCACCCTCACCTGCTCTGGAGGGGCCTGAACCTTTGCCTTGCTCACGCTGACACTGCCCCAGAATTGAAGGCAGTGTAACAGTGGGGCTCATATTGATTATGACGTGAACTTGAGCACATTCCTTTTTTTTTTGGAGACAGGGTCTTGCTCTGTCACCCAGGCTGGAGTGCAGTGGTGTGATCAGAGCTCACTGCAGCCTCAAACTCCTGGGCCCAAGTGATCCTCCCATCTCAGCCTCCTAGGTAGCTGGGACTGCATATGTGTGCCACCATGCCTGGCTAATTTTTTAAAAAAATATTTGGCAGAGATGAGGTCTTACTATGTCGCCAAGGCTAGTCTCAAGCTCCTGGCCTCAGGTGATCCTCTCACCTTGGCCTACCAAAGTGTTGGGATTATAGTCCTGAGCCACTATACTTGGCCACATTTCTTAACTTAAAAAAGAGCCAGGGCAGCTCTTTTTAAAAATATCTGTGGAAAGTGGAGCTGAATCAACATGACTCAGCAGAAATGGTCACAACCAGTGGCAGAACTTCTTATTCTTGGCCTCCTCTCAAGGCCTGGAGTTGGGGGATATGGTCCACCTTACTGGGCTGTCGTAAAGCCAGATGGGATCATGCATATAACCTCTCCCTCTACACAGTACTTGGCAGGTGACACATTAGTGCTTCTCACAAGAAAACCCTCCACCTCTTCCACACCCATCCAAACTCTTGCTGTTCTTCACGACACTCCTCAGATTCTGCCTCCTCCAGGAAGCCTTTCCTGCCTCCATCCACACGCACTTTTCCCTTCCCTGAACTCTGGTAGCACTTACCACGTGCATCACTCATTGTCACAGTTGATCCCTTTGTGCCTTCTACTATTTACAGTAAAGGAGGATATGGCTTTCAGTCTAGCTTGATTATTAGCTCTTTAAGGCCAAGAACTGTATCTTGTACTTCTTTTTTATACCCCATGACATAAACACATATTGACTCTTCAGCATCCAATATATTCTTGTCCCAACTAAATGGAATTTCCATCAACTTGACATTCCTCCCAGAAGAATGAGGCATTACTTGAACCTGGAGTTGCAATACAGTCTTCTTCGTCTTGGTCATTCACAAACACGTAAAAAGACCCATCGCAGATGAGCTCTCCAGGAAACCCCAGTGTTTATAGTTTTCCATCTGGGAATGCATCCACTTATGTGTAGCTTTGCTTATGGTCTTTAAGCCAATTCCATATCGATGGTAAAACAACCCTTAGTGACTCCATTTTTTAAAAAACAGTCTTTAAAGTGGGATTTTCTCACAGGTTTTTGAAAGTCAAATTAAATTGGGTTCTGTGGTTCCCTCTTATCCATATGCTTATTTATCTGCTCAAAGAACTCAAGGAGATTAGTGAGACGTGATTTCTCCTTACTGACACCACGTTGCCTTCCCTCTAATAGGCCATGTTTACTTCAGCGTTCAGCGATTCAGCTTTATTATACATTCACTCGGTAAACATTAAATGCTTACTCCATGCAAGCTGCTACCAAACGGTCCCTTGTGATACAGAAAATACCTCGGCGTATTAGTTTGATAAATTAAGTGAAAAGGAACTTAAATAATGCATGCTCTCATTCTCCAACAGGGAGAGCCCATCTCTGCTCACAGATTCAGGCTTGAGTTACGTGAGTTTTGTCCCTGGACAGCCTGGTGGAGAAGGGCTCTGATTTGGGAAACTGGATTTAGCTCTGAAATTTGACATGAGCTGTAAGCATCCCATGAGGGATCCATAGAGCGTATTCGCTGGAGGTGGGGGTGATACAACAGGGAGCTCACTGACATACATCAACACTGAACAAATGTGTGAATTCAAATATCATCCTGTGAAATATTCTTTTCCAAACTCCAGAACACTGGCTGGAGCAGACTATGGGTTGGATCCAGAGCAGCAATTCTTAACGTCATGCTTTCTCATTCACCATTTTTGGGGCACTGGAGTCTGTGCAATGTTGCTTCATCTTGCTCATTTTCCACATGGGCCTTGTAGGTCTCTATCAATGCCCTCAGTGCTTCCTGAAACTGCTCCGTGATGGTGCAGCCACAGCTTATCATTAAACCCAAATCAGTCTTCTTGGCATTTATAGAAGCTCAGTCATCCTGGTACATCAGGACTTGTATGTTTTTATTTAGATATTTTCAGTGAGCTTTTCTTTGCTGTCAGGTACAGTACCTAATGAAGTCATA